TCAGGATTTATATTGTTCAATAAAGATAAGCTTCTTTGTCTTTGTGATGAACTTACCCTTGTTGATTGCCAAAGTATATTCCCAAACCATGCCTCTCACCTGCTGAGTTTTTTTATGCTATTATATCTGCTACAGATTCTTCAACCCATTATATTGTATATCAGTGGGTTCTGTATTTTACTTTTTTGCTTAATTTCTCTTGTTGCTAGGTGGCTGTCAACATTTTCAAGAACTTGTCACTTAAAGCACAAGTTCTTTGGCTAACTATCCAATTGTGACAGTACTTATTGAATTGTCCTTGGCCATCTCCATGTACGTGCATAAAGATTAAAGACATTGTTGCATACAAACACACACATAGGACAAAGCCTTTATGCTTTGAACGTTGAGATGGTTTTGGTTGCAGTTATTAGTGTTGAACTTATTGGTGATGGTGGAAATGTGTTAGTAAAACTAGAATACTAGATGAAGTTCATCTATTCTTTAATCCTTTTAATTTTAATTATTGGTGGTTCTGATAATTAAGTACTAAGGATGGCTTTGATTGTGAAGCAATGCTTGATTGATTGCTTCAACTCTTTTGTATGTTTTGTGATTTATCCTTGTCAATGTTTTAATGGTAAACTTGGCCCATGACCATGTGCAGCATCCTTAGGTTCTAAGGTTTTGTGATATATCCTTGTCAATGTTTTAATGGTAAACTTGGCCCATGACCATGTGCAGCATCCTTAGGTTCTAAGGTTTTGTGATATATCCTTGTCATATTTTGGTTTCATTTTATTTTTCATGTGATGATGGACCAGCTTCAAATGAAATGCTTTATTGGAGCTTAGTGGCTATACTAATGGCCTTAGTGTTTATTACAAAAGATTCAATTATTTTGATTTTGTTTGTCTTCTAAGTGAAACATTTGAACTATTATTCAATCGTATTCAGTTATTATACTATTGACCATTGGACTCTTGCTTGTCAAAGAAATGACTTTCATTTACGTTTTTGGAGGTTCAGAAATCAACATATGCATTCTCTGAATTGTCTAATAAAGCATGGATTTGATCTTATGACTAAGGAAATGATGAGACATCAATAATTTTAAATCAAATTTTAGTGTTACTTATAAGAATTAGGCCAAGTCAGTGTTTATTAATTTAAAATTTTTGATTTGATGTCATGAATAAAAGTGTAAACTAAAAAATAATCAAAGTTTAGCACCCAAATATTTTTTTATGGAGAATCGAAATATATTTTGGCCTTATTTTGCTTGAATGGAGTTTCTGTTTAATAGTTGTGGCCATATACTGTAGCTAGCATCCATAGGTTATGTTTTTTCATTTTCGTCTGTGAGGCATCAAGCAAATTCAATGGCCCATCATCTGGCTAAATCTGATTTCTAAATGAATTTAAGAAACTATATGAGAAAAGAAGTAGGACTTGGATTCAAAGATAGATTATTGATGCTGGACATGCTCTTAGTGTTGACACCATTTATTTTGGTGATATTTAAATGTTTTTATTACCAAATTTATAAATGATGAAATTTCTTTATTTGTGACAGATTTTTATTAGTCACAAATATTTACCAATTTATAGTGACTAATATTGTTGTAATTTATTTATTTATTTTTTAAAATTAAATTGTTGATTAATTGTGACAAAAAATTTTGTTACATCTTGTGAACTTTTTTAGTAACCAACCGCATATAGTCACAAAATATATTTGTTACAAATCATAACTTTAGTCACAAGAAAAAAAGAGCATTTGTGACATAACTTTATCTTTTGTAACTTATATTTTTCAAGTATTTAATAGTTAATTTATTTGTGATGGTTTTGTCTGTCACAAATTTAAGTAATTTATTGTGATAAATTTTTAGTGATTAAATATTATTTTTGTGTCCAAATTATATATTATAATATTAAAAATTAATATTAGTGATTATTATCTTAAATTAGTCACAAATATAAAAAATACTA